TGTTGTCGCATCGCATTGTGATGTGTGAAGCAAATATTACATTTTAATTAGCATCAATTTTATAGTAGTTGCTCGCTCTTGTATCACTTTCGTGTTTTTGGCGTTTCCTCCTACCGCTGCCACGCCCACAGATGCCATGACCGACACAATAATTGCTTAAAATAATACGACAACAAAAATACATTAATAAACATCACCGACAAAAGGAGGACGGCTAAATTAGGGAAATTTTCGCTTTAAAGCTCGACATGCGATGAAGCGCACTTGCCGCGACAGCGCAACAAACTCAACTTGGAGGCGGAACGCTGGTTGGCTGCCCTCAACATTCACTTCCGTTTCCGTTCGTTGCCACTGCACATTATTCACATGTTGTCGTGCTGTTGTGACCAGCTCCGTTGCATGCACTTAACAATCAGCGAGCTCTGGTCATCGACGTCCCCAACGACTCACAGACAATGCGTGAAGCCCGTGTATTGGTAATTATGCATATTTTATTAGGCTTCATGTTCCTGGAAATGTTTTTCGTATTGATTTTTAACCTACTTGACATATATCGGCAAATTAAATAGTCTAAAGTTACTTAAGTAATATTTCGAAAGTTAAATTCCTCATGTCAATTTCTAATTGCTTCTTCTGAAATACAATTCAAACTTCATTTCAATTAGAGTTAAAGCCAATTTACATTCAATACTCGAAGAGCAAATAAATCACAGTTTGGCTTGTAAATGATTGTGGAAACATGGCAAGTCCAGCAAACAAACTAGAAGACCTAAAGATCTTCAAACTCAACTGGACTGCAAATGTGATTTGAGCAGCTTCGCATTGCTGTAAGATTGCTCAAACTCATTTGCATGCCTTTCACAACTTAATACTTATCCACATAATTGAATATAGGTATTTAAACACTGTTTCAGTTTTAAGGTCCTTAAATTTGGGAACCTAACGAGTTGATATGCCAGCTGGCAATAAAAAATGCAACATTAAATGGGCGTTTCACATAAATAAAGCCGCTGGAATTGGGTTAAAAATTAACTACGCCAAATTTAAATCAACTGCGTGGAGACCCATAGCAACTGGCATCGTAGTTGCTGCTTGTCAGCGAGTTCTGCTCCTGCCTTCGGGACCGGTGGTAAAAAATCGACTCGATGCCGATGCCTGCCTGACTGGCTGCCTGCCTGCTAGCAAGCCGTAAATAAAGACCAGCAAACATTAATAACTCCCATTGGGTGTGTTAACAGGCAATGACCAAAAGAGGGCAGGCCTGGCATGGATTTGGACTACGCTTTTGTTGCTATTACTGCCCCTCTGAATCTTGGCCCCTGGCCTGGATTCCTCTCTGCATAAATTGCAGTAAAAACAGCACGAAAATAACTAGCCATGTTGTCGTTGGTATTTTTTATTGTAGTAGTAGTTGTTGTTGTTGCTTTTGCTGTCTATGAAAAACGATGTGCAACAAAAGTAACGCAGAAAGAGCAGGTGAAAAATTGCGCATACGTCAGGTGCGCCCATGGCCCGAGAATGCTGTGAGGCAAGCGACGTGTAATGCATGTAAGACAATCATTTTGACAAGCCAGCAGTAACAGCAGCAGCAACAGTAGCGCTACCGTGTTTACATTCTGCCACTCCCTAACCTAGACGCTGTCTGGCCCTGAGCACCTGGCCTCTGGCCCCTGGCACCTGCCGCCTGCCACCGAATTACTCATTGGCCCGTCTCTCGCCTGGCTGCCTTTTGATTATTATGCACTTTGATACTTATCTTTAATTGAGGTAACATTTCCCTCAGAGCAGCTGAAAGCTTTCTTTTTTACACTACACTTAACTCAGAATTATTTTGTCGTGCTTCATTTTTTCGCCTTCGTTTTTTTTATCGTGCTGACTTTACTAATTCATCATCAATGAGAAGTCTCAGTCTTATTACTTACGGACATTGTGGAGATTTATGCAGGAAATGTGAGCTTAAGTAAAGTGGAATTACAAGTGAATACATTGAACTCAGAATCAAGCTGTTGCTCTAAGTGTTTTTCATTCTTTCTACACCAAGTTTAATTTTTAGAAATATTGATCGGATGAAATTTCCTTTGCTTTTTAAAGAAACCCAATATGCCTGTGAGAAAACTGAGGAATATTCACAAATTAAATCTCCTGCTTGTAGAGTCTTTAAAATGTAAGAGGCCTAATCACAAGTCAGGCAAATGGCCATTGCTATGGGGATCTGGGTATAATGAAAATGAGTACATCCAAATAAAATAAAATAAGATTTAAAGAAAGAATAGTATTATTTCGCTATAATAAATGTTACTTTTGCGTTGCTTATAGTCACTTGATCCGTTTGCTTTTTGCGTTTTATATTTGAAATGGTTTTGAGTTTGCTTTATAAATATTGAAGAGCATTAAGCAGACAACCGTTTAGATACACCCGCTGGCACACACACATATACACATATACATATATAAGCAGTGCACTAAGCGTTTTATGGCCATTGTTGCCTGGCGTGCTCTTTGTGCTGAGTTCAGGGCATATGATTGTGTGTAAGCTCAGCCCCAAGCTCTACTGAAATCGTGTGCATCTTGCAGTCTTTACGAATCGTTTTGTCGTTAGTCGTCTGCAACGGATGCCAAGGCTAATTTTGCGTAAAATGAGTCCCCTAGCTCTAAGCCAATAATTCATTTGGAATCATAGGGTCGAGGGCTCAGCCACAAGCTTCACAACACGGCTTATGCAAATGAGCAATGTGTGTGGCGTTGTGTTGCGTTATGATTGTCCGTGTTTTCCCTTGCCCCAACGTGACTCGATGTCCATAATACCCTCTCTCACTCTCTCTCTCTAATCAATCAGAAATATTTACGGCTGCAGCTTCCGATTAAATTCCATTACCGTTGTATATATGCGTCGAGCCGTATGCGTGCTATTAAAGCTGCACACTCGAACTACGAAGTTAATAAATTTATACGCAAGCGTAAGATCGTGCAATGTAAAAGTTGCTCGGAGTATTTGGTGCAACACTTTAAGCTTATCCAAAAATACACTTATTGTGTCTTATCCGAACTTTCCAGTTATTTTCTGCCTATTTTTCAACGCCTTTGACCTGCCAGCAAAGGCCGAACATAGTCAACGGCCACGCTGCCATAGCGCAGCCATAGGTTGCTGTGAGTGCATTTCAATTTGCGTTGTAAGGGTCGTAGGCGCTGTGCCACCTGCCTTTTATGAAAGCAATATGCATATGCCCAACAATCCACTCGAGCGCTGCTATTTGCATTCACTTCGTTGCAGTGTTTGCCTGTCCATTCGTTGGCTCGCCCACTCCTGCTGCACACTCGTCTGCTTGCCTGGGTCGCTAGCACATTTTAATCCTGTCAAAGGCGGTTGTAGTGCTTCAGGCCAGCTCTCTTAAAGTTTCATGGAATTTACTAGCAGCTGCGAGTTGCCTCAGGTTCGTTGGCTAAACGACACTTGGCTGCATGAGTAAACAAAACAGTTGAAGCAGGCAAGTAGCACAAATTTGATTGGCATTGGACCACAGATAGGCTACGCTTTAAGTAGCTTTATAATTCTGTTGAAAGAAATGCAGTTTAGTGCTCGATTGAATTGATGGAGAATTTTTAAATGATTTTAAATTATTTCTCAGTTTTAAGCTGAATTTTTCACTTCTATTTTCTACTTCTACTTTCCTTTGCTGCTTTTAGCTTGTGGTTTTTCAATTGTCAACTCTTTTCTGAAAATACTCAAAAGTTGTGTTCATTTGCTATGCTCGCTGCTGTTGTTGATGTTGTGATTGTTGCTAACATTATTTCAGCTCTAAAAAACTTTTACACTCTTTTAGCTTTTTTACGACGCCTCTCAATTTGACATGGGCATTTTTATGAGGCTCTCAAATTGGCCGCCACTTTTTTCCATTTTTGTTGCCATTCTGTGCCTTTTGGCGAAAATTTGCTGTTTAGAGCTTTTGTTGCCGTTTCCTCTTAGTACCCTGTGCCCATTAAAATTGGATAGAAAAGGGTACATGAGTTAGGGCAAGTGTTTGGTAAAGATAGGAGTTACTTCTTGAGTAACAATTAAACTACTCCTTGTTAAGACCAGAATAGCAATATCCCAATTGGCGTACCACAAATATTATTGATAATTAATTTTGTTTTTCATCTTTAGCATACAGAAATCAATAAGATAATAAGCGGATAGATTTGCTATCTGTTATTTCTATAAAGGCTCCTCGTTTAGCATTTAAAGTTTCCTTAAAATATACTACAATGGCTAATCAAAGGGCATCTGTGCTTCGGTCAATCACAAGTAGAACACTTACCATATTTTGTAGCACAGCGTAAACATCAGAACACTTCATAGTCAGGTCTTTCGGTGCATCATAAAAAGCATTGCGTTCTCATTTCGCGAATGCTGACGAAGTCATAGAAAGTCGACGCGTCGGGTAATTAGAAAATTAGCCCCTGCCAGCGGCCCATAAATGAAATGCACAACAACCAGTGGCAGCCGTAACAACAACAACTGGCTCTCCGCAAGAGGCGCACTTGACGCTCCAGCGAGGCACATGCAGCTGCCACCGACACTTGAGCCCAGGCACAATGAGTTTGTCATTTGCGCAATTTAAGTTTTAGTTACACGAGAAGCAGGATGTGGGTGTGTCTATGTGTATGTGTGAGTACATGTGAGGGAGTTGTGTTATCCTTTCAATAGGACTGCAATTAGTACGAATTAAGGTAGATTTTTGGCTAAGCCGTTTCCTGTTTCCGGCTTGAAGCATACTTAAAGTCGCGGCCCAGTTTGCGACCGAAGCAATGTCCTTGGTCAGGAGTGCCGTTGCCCTTCAGGTGGCTTAGCTGATATTATAAGTTAATAATATAAGTATCACAAAAATTGAGGCTAAGTAGCTCGTTACACAACACTGGCGGACGTCAATGCTAAATTCCGCATGAAGAAATACATTTCTTCGTTATATATAATATATAATACTTATTTTGATTTGTGTCCTTTTCTTTCTGTTTCGCAGGGCTAACATTGTGCTACCAGCGGCAATCTGTGAGCAACAACAACAATCACAACAATGTAGATGCAAAACCAACACATCTGCCGCCATTACATTATCCGCATGGCCACAAATGGAATGAGCCGTATTTCGATTTGACAATGCCAAGGAACATAACATCCCTCGTGGGCAAATCCGCATATCTGGGCTGCCGTGTCAAGCATCTCGGCAACAAGACGGTGAGTACGGCTCGTGGCAAGACCAAGATAAGCATAAATACAAATCATCAGATGGCTATCTTTTTGTAGTCAGTACTAGCCACAAAAGCTGCCTGCCCCACTAAGATAACGTAGAATGAAAAAGAATACATACATACATATATATATATAAAAATATAAGTAAATGTATACAAAAATTATATGAAACCAGATTGGGTAACCAAAACAACAGCTCAACTGCTGGTGCGGGGGCGTCTGTTTTAATAATGTTTATTTTTATTTACATTTAATAAACAAAAATGTAGCGACAAGTGTTGGCAATATGCCGACCATCTCAGATAGTTGCTATATGATATTGGTAAAGGACGCATGTGGTGTAGTGTGTGTGCGTGGGCGTGTGCATGTGCGTGTGCGTGTGTATGCCATAATAGCAGACGCTTATTAAATTTACTGTCAGTTTATTATGTACTACGTGACGTTGAAACAATGAACCGAAGTTAAGGCAGGAAACACAAGCCAACACATGTTGTCCATGTACCCTGTCCAGATATTGTCATTATTTTTATGGCGTCACTTGATTTTCTATGGCTGGCCTAAAAAAACTTTGACCATTTGCCATATGAGACATGCTGGATGTTCGGTCCTGGCTCCAAGGCTATATTCTCTTTTCGGCAATTAACATCTCGTTTTCCAGGCTTTGCCTGCCCCGAGCAGCAGCACTTAAACTTTTGCCTCCACTCGCTTGAAAGCAGTTCTTGCGAAATTGCTAAACAAAGTATTGAATTTCAGCAAACCAATTAAATGGGTTGCCATAACTGCAATACGACTGAAATGTTAGCTGGCCAAACAGCCATACAGCCCTACAGCCGTACAATCAGCCAGTTCATCAACCCGAGCATTGGCCAAGTTCAGTCAATGCTTTGTTGTCGCTGACACTGCAGCGCAATCTGTTGCGGAGAAGCAGTAAACGTAATTTACGATGAGATTTAACAATTAAACACACCCAAACACACCAAAGAGCCGAATAGTTCACATTCACACTTCAGCATTGCGGATATACACATGCGGCCTACATGCACTCGTGAGAAACTTTGCAGGTGCTCCTCGTTTTGGGCCAGAAGTTATAAATGCTCCAGCGTTGATTACGTTAAGCGATTTAGCGTCGGGTTTGGCACCCTGGACGGGGGTTATAGATTTCCACATAACCAAATCCGCTTCCGCAATCAGTAAACTACACACACATCCAGGCAGACAGACAGTGAAAGAGAGGGAAAGAGGGACAGAGAGAGGGAGAGAGAGACAGACAGAATGAGTGTGCAGGGGATTTCGGGGCAAGTTTCTCTAGTTAACTGGCGGCTCGTTTCTGGCCAACGGTAAATTTATGTTGCCAGTGCGGCAAAAACTCTGACGAAAAAAGTTTTTTTTGCTGGCCTGGACTGTTATTGCCGAATTAGACAGACGGCAACTGGAACTGCACAGATGGATGCCTGGCACAGTTGGCTGACTCTGACGCAGTGTCTGTCTATATTCCCAGCTGTCTGTCCGTTCGCTTGTACGTCTGCCAACGACCGCATATGTGTGTGTGTGTGTGTGTGTGTACTTGTTCCTTTAGCAGTTGGCCACCGCGTAAAAAGGCAGCCAAAAACTTGCCAAAACAGTGGCAGCTCAAATAAATACAAAAAATTTAGCATCAAAAATTTACAAAATGTAGTGGCCAATGCGGAAAAGGAATGTCGAGGCTAAGAGCACGGAAGTATCATTTTCCGGGGCTGTCATGCGTGGTGCACACTAATTTTTAGTTATTTAATATTTAGATTGCGAGCTGCATACATTTTCGGCCTGTGGCTGTCCCCGACACTGAGGCCAAAGCTGGGACCACGGCCGGCCAAAGCATTAGGCAGCAAATTGACACAAGTTTCTGCTTTGCCCAATCAAAATGCAAATCAGCGTGGGACGCACAAATACCACAAAAAACGCACTCTAATATATTTAAATTTGCCTTTGTTTCTGGCTCTTTAAACAGTCTGTGGCTAGAAGTCTGAAAAGCTCTTTCAATTGAATTATGCGCATATTTTCACATTTGAATAATGAAAAGCTGTGTGTTTAATTAAAAGAATGATAAAGAGAAAATAAATTATTTATTTAATAATATATGGCTTAGCACTTCTGGAAAGCCAGACACGAGCTGGTAACCTTATAAAGAATTGCACAAACACACAACCAATTGAAGAGGCAGACTTATTAGTGGGCGAACATGCACATAAGGCTAAACAAGCTCAAATTTTGAATTGAGCCTTTCGAAAATTATTAAAAATTATTTAACCGTGTTAATTAATTGACAATATTACAGGTCGCCTGGATACGTCATCGTGATCTGCACATACTCACCGTGGGCACATATACCTATACAACGGATCAGCGTTTCCAGACCTCCTATCATCGGGATATTGACGAGTGGACACTGCAAATCAAATGGGCCCAGCAGCGGGATGCTGGCGTCTACGAATGCCAAATATCGACGCAGCCGGTGCGCAGCTATTCGGTCAACTTGAATATTGTGGGTGAGTTAAACCAAAAAGTGTGTCAAGCGATATGTACACTATCCAAACAGGCAGATGTATATGCTCGTCCATATATAATGCCAAACATTTATATATCCGTGCAGCTGACGAAGCTTTAGCCGTTGGGCTTTTGCATATTTCAACTTCGGTTGCTTCTCCCAGCGTATACGTAATATTTCGGCACGTCACACGAAAAAAAACAAACGTTACTATGGGTTTTCGCATTTTTCTTATTTGCATATTCATGCAATTTGCAAAAGTGTAAATTATGCACACTTGGCAATATCGCTACAAAAATACACAAAATAATAAAAACATGTAACAAGCATTTTAAGCTGAAAGCAACTGACTGTGACAATACTCTATTTAAGTACACTAGCTAACAAAGTCAAAGTATTCTATAAAATAGTTTATTGCATCAGTATATGAATATATTAATTGAAAATGATACTTTCAAACTGAAGTTAACTTTAAAATTGAAGTCAAGTTGCGCAGAAAAGTCAGATCACATTCATCCTTACACTTTAACAGGCGCAGACTAAGACGAGACTATTTTACATGTATAAGGATTGTATAGGTCTCTCTAAGACGGTTATCGGGACCTACAAAGCCAATATACTCTCGAAAGCTTGCACAAGCAGAAAACAGCAGAAAAACCAACAACAACTGCTGCAACAACACATGAGTTGATCGAAAGCGCACATGGGTTACAACGTTTCTCGAATTTCCCAAAAATATGTGAAAAGTTGTCATGATAGTAAAATAAAGAGTGAGGAAAAGCTAGATACAGGCCACAACATATTTTTTTTGTTCCACATTTAACATGGGCATAAAGTCATGTGACAAGATTGATTTCAATTAAATTAATTTGCGTTTACTTTTTGTTGTGTGACATCACCTTTATATTATTTTAGTGATTTATTTGGTGCTATTGGTGCTATTGTATATTGAGCATGGTGTAAGTTGAAAATAACGAACCTTTTCACATTAGTATTTTTGTATTTCTGTAGATGTTTTATATTTTTTATAGATATGCTCTCTAAAGCAAATTAAGAGACCACAAAATTAATTTAAATAATTAAATTGCATCAATTTTGAATATTATTTTACTTCTATATTATTTATATTTATTATTAATATTTTATATTTAAAAAAATTTTTATTAATTATAATTTATTTATTAAGTTTCCCTTTTTATTTATTTTTTTATTTTCATTGATTCGATTGTTTTCCTCATATGTAAGACATAATTGATGAGGAGACCAGCAGTCTGATGCAGCAATATTACAACGACGATGCCTTCTACATAGCCGCGGATCGGGTCTATCAGTCCAGCGATGACGAGTTTGCGGGCATGTTTGGCCCCATTCAGACAGTTGCGGGTTTGTAAAAAATACGACATAAGCAGTGAAACTCTTAAAGACAGCTTCCTGGCAAGCTTCTGTGCAACCAGAACATGCGTTAGTTAACAGTTGCCGTAGACAGATGGGGAAGCTGAAAGCTGAGAAGTTGACAAGCATGTGCATATATTACTTTCATACCCTAAGCCCATTGAAAATGGCAGTTGAAGGTATATCGGTTATATTATCGGGTGAAAGAGGCGTGGCTGAACCTACCAAGCATTTATATTGTCGATCAGGCAGTCCATTTGCATGCATTCATGATCAAATTTCTTCAATTTGATTGAATTGCTTCAATTGCCAGCTGCTTTGTAGTGCTGGATTAGCCATTCCACCGCAAATTCCTGGAATGACATGGACTGCGCTAGGAATTCTGTATTGTTATTCAATTTGGTTATTGTTTGATTGCTTGTGAAGATACGTGCTCGAGGCTGGCAGGGTATATTCTAGTCAGGTACCCCCGACTGGAACTTTCTCGCTTGTTTTTATTATTTTTCATATATTTCGTGCCAGTTATGTGCACTTTTCAGCCAAGTCCTCCAGTCGGGTGGAAGTAGAAGTGCTGTAGAGGCGAGCTAAGCGGTTGTGGCTGGAGCAACGTTTTTCTGGCTCCTAACGAACAAATTGCTTTGGAAAATACTTTTTCCGACTAACTTTGTCAGTTTGTTATTTTCCACATTTTACCTTACCCATTTTGTCTGGAGACCTAACAATTTTCATAAAAATATTATGGCATAAATTTGTTTATTTCTCAAGTACGCGTCCCATTTAATTAAAAAGTCATCAGTAGTGAAACGTATTAGTTGTTGCTTAATTATGTGTTTATTAGTCAAATTTATCAGGAAGCGTCTTGCAGAGATGTGGATAGTCTTCGCTAACGCCCTCGACACACTTATCGGCTGAGAATGTGCCCGCCGTATAGAGTGGGGAAGACGGTTCTCTCTGATTATTATAATAACAAATGAGAACAAAACGACTGGCCTCCCGGTCCAAATCCTCAGCGGCCGCACAGCCTACGTAGCTGTTGTTGTCGTTGAGTATATTTTTGATCTCATTGAGTTCTTCCTCATCAAATATATTTAGTCCCAGCCTGTACACCTGGTGCATCCACTGTTCCGTTTGAACAGTCAGTTTCTCGGAGTTGGTCGATGGCACGTATTTGGGCAGCGACTTAATATCGAGCCAATTCATGCCATAGTTTAAAGCTGGAGTCGCAAATGTAGAAACGGCCATACAGTAGTCGAGGCTTTGTAAACAACGCTTCACATGATACTCGGCAATCAGAGCCAGCTTAAAATGCCAAATTAGCTCGGGCATATGACTGGCCTTAGCCAGCCCCCTGATTTCTCCAGATGCCACATCTTCACGGTACTTATTGTGCAGCTTGAGTAGGTAGTCCCTGTAGACTTGCATGTTAAACAGTATACGGGTGCGCAAGCAACTCTCATGAAAGGTCTAGAAGAGAGTAGAGTAATAAGGGCTTAGCTGGTTCAAAGTCTTACCAAATTATTTTCGCAGCCCAAATGGTGCACGCCTTGGCATTCAGGCATATTACAAAAGTCTATCGCCAGACATTTGTTCCAGCAGAGAACAAACAGAAAAACTATAAGCTTCATTCGCTGCATTCTATGATCACAGATCTACTGAAACTAGTTAACGAACGCCAGTGCCTTATATTGAAAATATGTGATTCAATTAACTTCAAGTGTCACAGCTGTTGGGATTGTTTTAACAATGCACGTGTAGGTTCAGATGACTCTCTCAGAAAAGGTGTAAAGCTTTATTTTGAAATAAATATGACCTCGAAAATTGTTGACATCTATATAAATAATCAACAGAAGTAAGCGAAACCCGAAGACCCAGCGATAAACTATATAACTCTCTGACTGTGCGCTTTTAATGGAACTTTATGATACACCTATACGTTAGCAAGAGCCGAATAATTTTATAATTGGGCATATCGTTTTCCCTAAACGGCATATTTCCAGCAATAGAATTGCTTGTTGAGTCTGGACCCCATAACAGCTCGGGTTACAATACCAATTAGTCCGAGTTTGCTTTGTAGCGAGCTGTTTTGTCACACGATGCGCTTCTTGCTCATTTCTTTGTTTGCTAGAGAGGAATGCGCATTTTGCTGATGTCTTTTATTGCCATCACATACGCAGAGCCAAGCTGTGCACTGATTGCAACGGATGGGAGAACAATGACAGGTTGCATAAGTGGCATCCACAAGCTAGGAGCTTGACAGTGAGTTTGGGTGACATCAAATAGAGTTCTTTTGTAGCAACGAAATGACATTCGAAATGACCAGCTGCCAATTTAACTAGTTTACTGAGGCATCAATTCAGCCGGGATAAGTCAACCTGGGACAGGTGCTATCGAACTCCACGTTTGTTCCTCTGCTGTTTGCGTAGTTTGCTGATTGGAAACAGTCACGTGGCTTGCGATATTTTGTCGGTAATTTGCCGTTTTAGCTGTGCTACACATTTCGCCTCTATTTCCCATTGCTGTGACTGATGAAGCTTGTCGACTAACTCTTTTGCAGTACCCACAGCAACGATTCTCGGCGGACCCGATCTCTATGTGGACAAGGGCAGCACCATAAATCTAACATGCATCATTAAGTTCAGCCCGGAGCCACCAACACACATCTTCTGGTATCATCAGGATAAGGTAAGCCTGCATCGAGCCTTAATCAATTTATGAAAATTAAAAAGAGGAAGAATGCTTTAAAGATAAATGTAAATTCTGTGTGCGCATCAAATTATCGTGGAATAATTGACCTTTGCCCTCGCACGAAGCGGCGCTAAAAACTCACAGTGTTTGAAACGCCAGGCACTCAAACTCAAACTGTTCCTCATACTAATACTTAAGCTCAAGGCTCAGCCAATTGCCGCTGGATAAACGTTTCAATTTTTACGAGCGCTGGGCGCGACTTGCGTTCGCTCTTTTGTTTACGCTGCGTATACGTAACGTATTTAATTTTAGCTTTTATGATTATGAGAAAACATGCTTTTGCATTTAGCTTGTTACCCGCCTGCGTGTCTGCTTGTCTGCCTGCCTGCCCGTCTGCCTGCCGCCACTAAAAATGTCTTTCGAAGGCAAAATTTTCAACGAAAATGTTTTAATACACACGTTTATACACACAGGTGCTCAGCGAGGAGACTGCGGGTGGTCGCTTGAAATTTAAGACCATTAAATCGGAGGAGACCAAATCAATTTTGCTTATCTACGATGCGGATTTATTGCACTCTGGCAAATACTCCTGCTATCCATCAAATACAGAAATTGCCAGCATACGCGTCCACGTGCTACAGGGTGAGTAAAACGGAGATTAGAGGGGCGGCTGCTGTAATACAAACATATGTGGGGCAAATGCATTAAACGATAACTTAAATAGCAAATAAGTGGAAGGAACCGGTTAGCAAACCAATAAGAAATTGAAGAATTCAATCGAACTGAAGCCCATTACCTGCAGATGCAGTTGAGAGGCTTTCAAGTATGATGATTGCACTGAAAGTATTTGCAGCTACTTGACCTTTCCGCCCCTACACATATAACATATATATAAAATATATATATATATATACTGAAGGATGGAGGACACACTCAGCATTGTTGTACACTTCTTGTACAATTCCAAGCCCAACAAACTTTATGCATTTTTGTACAAATATTTTAGTGAGCTAACCACAACAGGCATAAGTATTTCGGTTCCACTTGGTGGTCTGTGTGAGCTCTGAGCGGGGTCAGTGGGGTGTACTTGGGACTGTGAAAGGGTCCAACAAATTGTAACTCATTTATGCAATGTCTGCATTAATTTTTCTTCTGTGTTTGCTCATTTTGTACAGGCGAGCGACCCGAAGCCATGCAAACGAATGCGGCACCAGCTGCTGCCGCTTTGGCCTGGGCTTGCCACACGAAACAGGCAACGCAGGCAGTCAAAGTAATTAGCACAATGGTTGCGGCATTTGTATTGTTGGAAGCCTGCTGCACGCTGCTGCTCCAGGGAACAGGCGGAGGAGGTGTAGGCGCTGGCGGTGGGGGAGGCTTAGTTGGAGGAGAAGAAAACAGAACACCACCGTTGCAGAGTCAAACGGCGCAGGCAGACAGGAACGGCAGCTGCCCTAACCGCGACCATGGTGGCCAGCAGACGACGTCAACTTCGGCCAACCATGTCAATAAGAGGAGAACTACTGCGCGGTGATAAATTAAAGCTGTCTGGTTAGAAGCGCCACAGAAATGCCACCGCCAATGCGCCAGCCAAGCGACAGTATGCAACTAAGTGGGTTGCCCACTGGAGGGCAATCGAGATATGAAGCTTGGCTGTCGCGCGAATGATGCAATGCAGCAGTAGCTGCACCGGCACCGGCCACTGGCAGCAGTTGCAATGCAAAATACTAAAACAAGAAAAGGTAAGCTAATTACGCTAATGATGAGCTGTTGCATATGATTCGTCAACTGCTGCTGGGCCGATGCAGCAACTGCTTCTGAAATACTCTCTAAGTTGTAAGTAAGTGCGTGTATAATTTAGTGGGCTGGGACTAGCTGACACGGGGACAGCTATGTACATAGTACTCTTACCTAAACTCATATGCCAGCACTAGAAACATTAGTAAAATAGATAACAAAAAGTTTAGAGAAGCAAGAAAACTTAGAGGAAAACTTAAATAATGTAAAATTCATATATATGCTACTATCTAATAAACGTAATCATTCAAACGAAAGCAAATGGTCAGTTTTAGAACGTGTGGCAATAAGCTAATATTCGAAAGGCCACACAAACTTAATGCTAATTTCGTTGTATATATCGTCTGCTACGAGGACTTTGCGTGTGCAGTTTATAATCAGCAGTAGCTTAGACAAATTTCATGATAATCACTTGTATATATTTATAGACCTACATAGTAAGCAATGTAAATATTTACAATAACTGCCCGTACCTAATCAGGTGCAGTTGCAAAGCTAAATAATCCATTTTATTCATCAAGTTTATGTATATGATTTGACAATGTTCCTATTACCAGGTTTGCATTTCGAACGCTTTATTTGTGAGTCTAGCTAAATTTGTATAGTCTAACAGCACAAATTTATTGGGCTTCACCTCTTCCATCTTAAATCATAAATTGTACTAGCTGAGTTTCTCCATAGTTTGGCAACATTGCAAAGCCGTTCGTTGGGCTAGTTCGGAAGGATACAGAGCTCTTATCTCTTTCCTCGAAATGTCATTCGACTGTCTAGAGTATTCCATAAGGTTTTCAGTATGTGTGCACAGTCCCGAAACTCTGCAGCTTGTTTTATTTGTGGCCACAACTTCATCATGTCCGGTTGTATTTCCCAAGTAAGCTGCAAGTCACTTTGCCAATGCCTGTCAACAAAATATTTGCATTTATATTTGCCAAGCTGCCCGCTGAAGTCAAGTAGCGCCCAAGAATTTAGTTTGTTTGAAAGCATTTTGCCCAGTTTGCTGCCTGGATCGATGGCACTTGGTCGCGCAGGTACTTCTATTCCCAGGATAACGATTCACGGCGCCTCCTAGAGGTCCTCCTGCGCTTGGCACCACTTAATGTCTCCCATTTAAAAATGCATGCGACTGTCCGCTTTAATGGCCGGCCGACTATTAAATGTGATGACCGTGCGCAAGGCAAGGGACTAGCTGGGCATTAAACCGTTCAAAATTGTAAATAAAATCGCATATATGTATTCGAATAAATAAAAGCTGCTTTATTTAACTACATGTTGTAGTAGTATGTGTACTTTCCCAAAGAAAAACCAATTGCTGTCATAAATATTAATATTAATAATTAAAAATTATAAATGCGCGTCAGTGAAATTTGTCGCGACATTTAAAGGAATGTTTAATGAGTGTATGCAAATGTTGCTATAAACATTAACGCAGAAGCGAGAAAGAAAGCCGAAAATATAAACAAAAGCAAAAACAAAAAATAAAATAAAATAAAATATTTATGCAGTTAAGAGCAAAGAGTACATATAAACCTTGTGTATGTATGTATAAAAGTAATATCGAGTATTATAATCAGACATAATAATTATAATAACAACAAAAACAAAAACAAAAACACTAAGTAAAACTATGAGCATATAAACATATAAATGTCAGATAAAAGATAATGATGGTGTTGATGATATTTTGTTACAAACAAAATGAGAACACAGTATAATGGATTATAAAGTTGTTTTAATGTTTAAGTGAGTAGCGCCAGCTGAGCGTTAACATGCATTAGGATTAACTACGTTTATAATAAAAACCGCAAATATTTAAATAAAGTTTTTAGTTATTATGAAAATGGTAAATACTGCAAACACTCTGCCTTTTTACTTTTAATTCCGCCGACATTCTAATCGTCGGACTGCAAAGTTATAATAAATTACATGCACGTTGCGCGGGGGTAATGTGTGTGCAAACTTGGGAAGGAACTCACAGGCACGGTGAAAAAGATTTATGCAAATATTTGGCACACAGATATCTTAACGGCTGCACATAATAGACAGCGGAATGGAACATAGAAGAGGCCCTGTTGCGAACGCATTTTCATTTTTCAGCCTAATAAAGTAGCAACCGAAAGGAATGTAAAGTTTGGGCTGGACTCAGCGGGACGCCCGAGACCAGGACGGTGCAGAATGCGCATAAAGTGCTGTCCCCGGTGCTTCCTGCCCAGGCCATGTGTGCGCCCTACCGGTAAGGCATCAGAGGCCGTTAGCATAAAAGTTTATTATATGACAAGTAAGTACATATATTTGTATTCAGCTATGTGCCGAGCCCAGCTTCGCTCCACAAGGCAAATAACGGCAATATCATGCCAAAAAGTTTAATAGCGCAAGACGCGTCAAGGCGAATTGGCTGGAAAACGTAACGCACAGCCAGGAACACTCAGCGCATATGAAGCGTAAAGTTTTTGCCAGAACTCACAAAGCAACGGAAGCTCCAAATAAAACTATACTCCAAGGTACAGCGAACGTGGAATACCCTGTTATGCAGATAGATAGCTTATTAATAATATATTTCATACTTATTTTAATTTATTTTTTGCATAATTTATTGACTGCATATATTAATCCTATTTATTATTTATGATTTCTGTAACATTTTTTGTTTTTATACCAAATATTCTATTAAATTTTATTAAAATTAACCAAGTTTATATATCTTCTGCCGATGATTTAAAAACAAAATCATGGCCGAGCCTGCTTGAGCCGATAAAGTTTATTTTCTGATATTCGTTTTTTTTTTATTCTGTGAGATCGATTAAGAACGTTATAGAACTTCAGCTTTCAGACATATTTATTATTTTTTACACTTAGTTGTATGTATTTATGCCTGAAAAGGCTTAAATTTTAGTTGATTTAATAGATAGATAAATAATTGATTATATTATTATATAAATACATATGTTGAAAAGAGTCCTTTATTTAAAAGAATTGAATTGATTTGGAATGTCAACTGCTGTTTTAAATTGGAATGAAATCCCAAGAGCGAGGCATGTGGGAGTGCTGTCTTATATGCTAATCCTAATAATACAAAGGTATATAATTAGTATATAATTATTGCAATACTTAAATCTGCGTGTGTTTGGCTTAGGTATGATTAGAAGCAACCCACGTTGTATGCTTGAGGATAATTGCGGATTGGGTTCTGGATATTTTTTAAACAATTCCGATTTAGGCAATCTTAATTTTTCTAAGTCAATTATCCACTTTACGATTAAAATAGCTCAATCTTAAATAATGCTTCTTTAGAATATCAATGTGCCTTTTCACATCAAATAAAATATTCCTCTGAATGACACGCAAATAAAAATTTCCACGAATATTCGTACATACTTAACTTAAGTGCACGGGCAATTTTGGTATACGGACACTTTCTGGTATGGGATTTGCCCAACCTTACTTTTAATTGCACACGGCTTATGGCTCTGATCAGAGACAGAGAGAAAGAGAGGGACAGACAGAGGCCGCTAGTCAGCAGGTGGCATATGTACGGTCTGGCAATTTTGGATGAAAGCTAGAATGTCTGAGGAATGTGTGCCAACTGGTGCGAGGGGCCATTGACAAAGGCAAAATAAATTATCATCATTGTGACATTTTCATTTGTCAGCGTAATTTGCTTTGAGTCACATTTTTTGCCAACGAAATACGTCGGCGCTTAAAAGCACACTACAAGTTGTGCACCTTTGAGGCGCTCGACGCAGCCAATAAAAAGAGCAGGCAATTTGGCGAGGAATTTGCTTTGGTGCCTGGCTTCCAAATGGTTGGAGTATATTGGATGCCTCTGTCAGCGAACTGATGCGTTTTTTTATGGCTGGTAATGTGCTGTGTGGCCGGAATATTGCTCTTATTATTGCTGTGTGTATTTTGAATGTGGAGAAATATGATTTGATTTTTTACATTTATTTCTTTGCATTTGTCGCTCGCAATCTATAATTTATTGGGGCAGCTGCCAAGGCCAAAGCATTCGACTTTGAATCCCTTTTGAGCCATGCTCATATATTGAACATAAATCAGGCGACTTATGTGCCATATGTAAAACAACAGCAACAACAATAACGAGAACACGAGCCCAGGTTTCGCTTTAATGTTTGTGTCTCGCTGAAAATCCACTACATAATTTATTGACATGCATTGAAGTGCTCCCTGGCAAGTACTGTGTGACGGGCTGCCAAATGTAGCTCGCCCTCCAGCTGCCAGTTGGAATTTTCTGCCATATTTGTGGCTGTATTGCTATCTGTATGTTCTGCTACGTGTTTCCATGGCTGGTTGGCGGATCTGTGCAGTCATCCAGTTAGTTGTCAAAGCAAATGCCTGTGGCGTCCGACCATTGTATGCTCCACAGCGTTTAACTGCTGCAATGGACATTTCGATGCATCCACAAAGCGGTTTATCTAAATCATTCAAGGCATGTCTGAAGAGATTTTCATTTTTACACCACTTTCCCTTTGAAAAAGCTAAAACGCTATATCCGACCCCATAATATGTATGCTTTATTTATATTTAATCTCAGATATATAAATATATTTATTTCACCTATTGCTCGCTCTAATCAAAAACGTTTTCTTAGTTAACTTACTTTAAGTTTTCCTTACAGAATGCTCGCTTACTTGAGACCAATCACATCTACAGATGCCAGCCTATAAGCTGATCAAAACCATTTGATGGTTGGATACCTTAAATCACTCGTCATCAGAGTTGAAACCCATTTTATAATAGTAATTGCCCACATAAAGACATTTAAGCCTCGAAAACTTTATACCGAGTATTTCCGCAATAAACACAATGATTGCAATCTCAATCGAGAGGATACTTTTCGCATTCACAGTGGTAAGTCCACAGCATGTGGCTTGTGTATATGAGGATGCGTATATGTGTATTAAAATGGTTCAAATTTATGTTATAGCTGCTGGAAGCCGACTATTTGGAATCTAAAAGCCGAGCTCTATCGACTAGCTCAGATACAAACCCATTCACATCTTTTTAAATCAGAGAAGCACTTATCTAATGGAACATAACACACTAATTGAGGAAATAAATCTACGTTATTTCGTGCATTTTCTATGTGTTGAGAGTGTACAAATAGGAATAATTATTCAAGCTACCTTCAGGGCTTTATTGCCCTCCCCTCTAATATTTTTCTTACTTTTATATTTGGCCAAATTTTTTTGTAAATAATTTACTCATGTAATGAAATTTTTGTGGTTGCTCGTGCATATTTCATCGACATACACACTCAGAGCTATTACACAATATATTTTAGAGGCCATATATTCTGCAATTCTCGTTTTTGAGCTCAGCTCCTCTTAAGAGTGGCTAACAAATGATGCTTTGTTATTGTGAGTGCAGCAGACAAAAGATTGATTTTCACCATGAAATATGAATGCTAATTAATCCTCAATTTCCAAATGGAGCCTGATAATCCGGCCGGAATATTCAATTTTCAAATTGCATCTTAATAATCTTTTACCATTGTTTCACAAAGTCAGGTCTATGAAAGACTTTTTATATATATAAAGATAGCATGATAAAAGCATTTTCTTTGCAATTAATTTTAATAAGATAATTTGATAAGGTCGCAAGAAGATTTGCTTGTGTATTGGGATATGCTAAGCGGGCAAAGATAATAATATGAACCCGATAATATGAATGATATGTACATGTTATAAGTGTTGTTTAGCGATGTTGCTTTCTTCAAAGATGATAGATCTGATGCTTCCCTGCAATGAGCCACGAGCTCCCACCTTTAATTTTCTGGAATATGTATTTCAAGATTGTATCTTATAAAAATATATTTAAATTTAATTTAAATGGTGTTCGCATAATATATATAATTGAGGTAATCAAAACTATCATGTACTGCCAAAAAAATATTCCCATTGAACTCACGTTACTAAATATCCAGGGTAGACGTGAAGAATAAAAAGAAAAAGTTTGTGGTTTGCGCATGATTAAATTTTCATCTGCCATGTGCTTTGGTAAAACAATGTATGAGGTGACTCTGTGTAGTAGAGTAATGTGTTTTGATTAGAAAATCGTTTTAAAATTGTTGTCGTTGTTGTGTTTATGGCTGCATATGTTTGTTATTTGTATTTGTTTTCACTTGCGTCGCGCCAAATTTGACCAGCACTGACCGAAAACCTATTTGTATGTATGTTTGCAACAGGATTAACACACAATGCACACACACACAAATGCTTCTAGATGAGAATGGGATTTTGAAAATGTGCAACATTGTTGCTGCTGGCCTCGTTATTATTTTTGTTGCTGTTGCTGTTGCCGTTGCTCTGGCTGTGTGGCAATTGCAGTTGTATTTGCTGCTGCCTTTGTCGTCTTCATGCATGCCCACAAATGTGCCCTCAGACCGAAAATTGTTGCTTACTTTTTGCACTCTTTGTGCTGTCACTTTTGCGGTCATCCTTG